GACCACTGAACTATTCTTTGCAATTTTGTGCATAGTTGAAATTGTCATAATAAAAAAGGGCTTTAGTGGGGTACACCCAACAGTGAAATATGTATAGCGGTAAAAATAGAATGGAATACAAACATACTCACTAATCAACCTATATTAATAAAGAAAATGTATAGCATTGTGAGGGAGTCATAGAAGAAAAGTCTGCTGGCAATTTTTAAAGTTCAGAAGCAAGTTAAAATATTTCCGGGATACAGACGTTACGGAGAAATTGCAGCACAAGGAAATGAGAAAAGCACACAAGCCTGGGGGGAGGGGGGCACGCTGAGGCAGGAGGAAGGGACCAGGCGGGCGGTGTAGGCTGTTACTGCAGAGTTGACAGTGGGCTGGTTGGCAAGTTGGCTGGTGGGCAAATGGGCGGTTTATTAGTAGACTTCACAACTCATACATACGCATACATTCCCCTGCCTATATCGAAGACCACATAACACAAATGATCGAAGAATATTTGGCCATTACCAAAAAAGTACCTGGGCCTGCCAGTGTGAACACTGCATCCTAGCACATGCTAGGTAGCCCTAACCTGAGTGTGACCTAGGCTTCAGGGAGTAAATGGTGGTGTTTGGTCAGAAAACCTTATAGTCCCTGAGGTTTGAAAATTCCTTATTACTAATAGAAATAGACTGGGGAGGGGGGGCACAACATGCCCTCACTTTTGGTAGGGATTAGCCAGTTGCTTAAAAAAACAAAAAAAAATTACACTCTATAGCATGTGAAAGGGGAATTTAATAAGCGGGACAGTCATTTCTGCACGAGCATCTGGTAGCACCCTATTTTGTCTGTGTGTAGAAGAGCCCCATATTGAGGGGATGCCCTGGAATAAATCTCTCACTGTGATCTGAAACGACCCTCCGTCCACAGCTAAGACTTGAGCCAAAGGAGCGCAGGTCCTATCACTGAATCCTCTCAATCCATCAAGATTCCACTCTGCGATCTTCAGAACTCCACTACCAAGTTCAGTGAGCCCCAATTTGACCTGATAGAGCTGACACTGGCAGAAGCTTTTTGGTACCCTAATGGCACTAGAAACAAACACCCAGGGGGGAAATAAAAAGATGTCTATTGCCACATTTTTGTCTACTGTAAAATTAATCAGAGATGACAAGGCCATCCTTACCACTCATGGGGCAAACATTAACCTTACCGGAAAGAAACACTGTTTACATATAGCTCAGCATGACTCAGCAGAGTGCAAGGCTGAGTCATGATCCCTTCCAGACACTGGGAGAGTAAGGTGTGTGGCACATGCCTATTTGATTCTTTCCTAAGTGCTGTTTCTCCAATTAATACAGATACTCTAGAGAAGGGGGAGGGGGCATGTTTGATGCCTTTGATGTGAGACATTAAAGGTAAAAAGAGGTGAAGGCATTTAGTTTGCCTAGAGTCCTCCTTTCCTTCCCAATCTCCAAGTGAAACTGCCCAAGGCTCAGATGGCTTCTCTGAACTGTACTCCCTCCCTCCCTTTGACAGCTCACCCAGCACACAGTTTAGTCTCCAAAACCCACAG